TCAACACTACGTGTACCCACGGTGATTGGAAATTCTGGACGTTCTGGTTACAATGTAAGCTCGTAGAACATTCAACCACTAGGACCACCCGAATCAGTTGTCCATGAATTCTAACTTCTACCAATTCGTGACTTATATATGAGGACTAAATGCGCGCCGATGACACTGACTTGGATCGTGTGGATCCCGGTGGCTGAATAGTCAACCAGCTTGTCTTGCCCTAGGGAAGATCCTGAGTTCAAACCCAGGCGGATGCATGCTACTGAATAGTCCAAAACTGCCTGGTTTTCAATGGTTCTGAGATCAACCCTTATTCGAACCCAAACAAACAGAATTGCTACAAATTAATTCCCGAAAATTAATCTGATGCTCACTGGTGACTGGATACAGGGAAACGAATTTGCCCTTGGAGTTCTATTGAGAAGTAGTGACCAGTGAGGTCCATCCAGTCGGGAGTGAGAATGGAGTTCCTGCCGATGATATTGGTTGATGGGACACGCTAAAAAATCACGAACTGGTAGAAGTTAGAATTCATGCGCACTGTCATTGGCAGAATCAGTATACGAGCTTGCCTTATAACCGGAAGGTCCTAGGTTCGAACCCTGGCAGTAGGTGCGTACTGTCGATGACTCTCAAACCAGGCTGACGGAACAGACGGGTTTTCCAGTCAATCACATTATCACACTTGAAATAGTAAGCAAAAATACCCTAGACAAGTATTTCACAGTCAATCTACAGTGTATTAAACAGACGGCATACCTCTTTGTTGCATAAGGCAAGATGAACCGACCTCTTCTCAATGCACAATGCATATCTGTGCATTTTCACGTAGACCTGTAGACATAACTCTTTTTTGTTTTCTAGACTATCATATTTCACAACATAAAAATAGAATACCTAAAACCTTATGAAAACAAGTTTTTCTCATATTTATTTTTATTATAAAAATACTCTCCTTCACTTTTTTGTTTTTCTGCGTTTTTCTGTTATTTTTCACTTTTTTTTCTTCTGTGGTCATACTCATAATCATAGTAATTACATAAATAATAATAATAGTATTAATAACAAGAGAAATTCCGTACTTTGCTTTTATACGTGAAAATCACAAATAAACTATACACACACAAAAATAAATAAAAAACACGTGAAAATAGCGTGAAATATAAGAATATGTGAAAATACGTGTTTTTTAATTTTACTCTAGTCATTTTGTTTGTTCTATTTATTTGTTGCTGTTTTTTTTTTCAAAATCGGGTTTTTCGTCTTTATTCACGCATAATCCATGGATAATATGCGCTTTTTTGGGTGTTGTTTTTGTTAGCTAAGCGCTTTCTGTTGTTGTTGATGTCTGTGAACAGGTGAGAGGGAATGCAACACATAACAAGTGACACAGAGAGATGATGATTCAGTGTAAGAATTTCTTGTGTTCTGGTGTGTTTTTTCCTCTGTCATTCTCTCTGTCTCTCTCTCCTGTGCCGACTGGAACTTCTCTCCAGTCCTCCTCAGATGATCTCCGCCTTGTCTCGTCATTTCCCATTTGAGGGACTGCCTGGAGCGTGATTTTAGCCAACAGTCTCCTCAGTTTTTGATGTAGTTGTGCTCTCGAAGTTGGATAGTTTATTTGCGAAGCTTTCATCATTGCCCTACTTACTAGGCAACATCTTCAGCCCATACTTCAATTTGAATTGAAGTGAGCTTTTAGATTTCTCCACGAGTTCACTATTAGTCATCTCTCCTGGTAACCAACCACCTTGGACGTGATTAGTTGTTTTTGTGTGTTTTCACACCGTCTAGCCTGCACTTGTATTGGTAGTGATTTTACTTGAACTTTGACCCTTTGTGTGTGAGACTACCTTCCTTCTTATCGATTGGTGAATTTTGTCTATCTCGATGTGTCTATTGATTGACGACTCACTGGCTTTTAAAAATTCTCTAGCATTCTTGATGTTTCCTCTGTCTAATATTTGAATGTTGTCCCAGTCGAATTGATGTCCGTGGTGTTGCATGTAGTGATATGAGTGAGGGAGTAGATGTCATGTCTTTTGACGGCTAGTTTATCTTGATGGATACGAAGATGAAGAGGGCGTCCTCACCTTTTGGCCACTGTAGCGTTTTTCGCAGTATCTCCTCAGTGTGTATGTGTGTGTGTGCGTGTGTGAGATCCATCTTCACTTTCTTGAGTTTCTTGTTGCTGATTCTTTCTGACTGTTTATCTTTGATCTTCCGTATACAGTCAGTGGAGGCAGCTGTTGATAAAAGCCTGTAATCTCTTCGAAGTGCTTTTCGTGACGCACCAACTTTCTGACTCATACAGAAGATTAGATTAGACTAAAAGTTATTGTATTCCTTGGTCTCGAAGATATAAAGATATTTGTTGAATGACAGATGGCAGTATAATCTGAGAAGTGTGTATAGTGTTACTTTAGACTCTGGCTGGCTGGCTGGCTGGATTCAACATAGAACTTGACACCGAAGTGCAGCAGTTTGAGTTGCCACGTTCCAAATAGCACACAAAGGTAGACAAGAAAATGAGTGAAGAGAATCAATAGAATTTAGATAAGTATAAGCGTGAAACAGAATGAGTAATGGTAGAAAGGAATATGAAAGATTACACAAGAGACTGAATACATCTGCGTAAGCCATTGACAACGATTTTGAGCCATGTCACCTATTGTCTCCAGCCATTGATTCTTAGAGTCCCGAGGGCCCCAACCCGGAAGTCTGCATCTCCCTCCCTACCTGACTCAGTTTAACTGTCAGGGATTCCATGGATTGATGAGGCCATGTTTTTGTTTGGCCACCACTTACTCTTTTCCAACCTGCACCTATATCAGCTAGTAATGCCCGTCGGGGGAGGCGATGGTTAGGCATGCGCAGCACATGACCTAACCATCTCAATCTATGTAACTTTATAGCCTCGTCAATTGATTTTCCCTCTTTGTCCAACACTCTACGCCTAACGTCAACATTAATTACCTTATTATACCACCTAACGTGAGAAAGAGATCGTAAACATCTGTGGTCAAAAACAGACAATCTCTTCATGTCTTCAACTCGTATTGGCCATGTTTCAGAGCCCCATAGAGAAGGACGGAGCGAACTGCTGAGCAGTACACACGTCCTTTGGTTGATAGCCGAATGTCATGCCTACGCCAGAGACGGTGTAATTTAGCGAAAGCAGCCCGAGCTTTTTGGATCCGTGCTGAGATTTCGTCACCAATCAATCTGTTGGTGCTGATACGACTTCCCAAATACGTGAAGTGGTCAACATGTTCTGTCACTTCACTCCCTATCACTAAGCTAAGAGTTGACGTAGTCCAATCCTGTAGCAGCATCTTACATTTTACAGGGGCGAATTGCATGCCAAACATACGAAGATTGCTGCTCAAGGTGTTCAGAAGACTCTGCATTTTGTCAGCATCCTCCCCTAACAGGACTATGTCATCTGCATATTCTAAGTCCATAAGACTATTCCTTGGTAACGAGTCGATTACTAAGTCGTTAAGTTCAGTTAAGGATACTTCCATTAGCATATCTATGATGAAGTCAGACAAAAAAGGGGAAAGTGGACATCCTTGATGGACACCACTGGTTGTTATCAATTCAGATGACAATTCCCCATAAGCCCTTACATGGCTACGTGGGTTTGAGTAGATTGCCTTGATTAGTGCAATTTACTTTCTTGGCACTCCCTTCACAGTCAAACACTTTAGACTCTATAGACTCTATAGTTGGGTCCATTCGTGTATCAAAAACTCTTACCCTTGATTAGCTTTACTCTGTGGTTATCAATAGTTCTCCAACTATTATTTTGTTTAATGGTTACTGAGACTTGTTTCAAATGCCAAAGCCTTATCCACAAAGCCACTGAGCCATAAGTGACGTAGTGGGGTCATTATCAATAATTGGCGGTGCTATCTAGGTATATGGGGCTGACGAGTCCTCATAAAGGGACAAAATGTGCATCCAAGATTCCAATATCAGTCACCATCAGTTAAAAAATAACGTCGTATTAATTTCCGGGCACAATGTTGAGGCGTCCGTACTGGGAGACGAAAATGCAATCAAACAAGGGGAAATCATGAGAGGAAATAATATGCAAATCGGTTGTACTAAGCAGAAAATTCTTTGCCTTTTTAGAACTCACGCGCATATCCAAAAGTCGTAATTATTTAACTCCCAGTTTCTCGATTATTAGTCATTGTTTCAAACTCTACTTTAATTAAGGTTTTGACTCTTTATCCAATCAAGACTACTCAGGTATTATCAGCACGACGGCTTACTTAACTCACGAGGTTGTATAAAATTCTCTACAACAGTTACATCCTTAGATGGCAAAATGTTCTCACGCAAAGTTTTAATTGGTCTCAAATCGTAAAGGGGGGTATCTGACTTCATATAGTAGAGAGCTGCGTCACGTGATGTTCTGTCTATTACTATTTTATCCGAAGAAGCTGTTCGATGGTGATCCAGTACTGTGTGTTGTAAACGTGTCATTTAGTTACGAGATGACGTCAGTTAGAGAACCTTTGGAAACAACCAGAGAGTACTAGGTGGCTGTTTCTTCCTAGCCTGGAACTCTTCATCACCACTAACCTCTCCAGGGTTCGAATCCAGAACCACCAGTTACGAGGCAAGCTCAGTCACAATGACTCGATCCAAAGCTCCATGAATTCCAACATCTACCAATTCGTGTTATAAGCGTGACCACCAGTCAGCGTCATTGTGACAGTATTTGTCCTCACTCCTGATCTGATGATGGACACCACTGGTCACGACCTCTCACCAAAACTCTGGGAAACTTCGTTTTCCTGTAGCCAGTTACTACCGAGCATTCAGATCAATTTTTAGGGGTTAGATTTTAGGGATTTGGTATGTTTGAAGTATGCTCGCTAGCTGACATTATTGTATTACGTTAAAAACACCCAGTTTTATTCCACTTTCTTATTCTCTAATGTTGTTATTATTATCGTGCCCATATTATGTCTCTTCACTGACAGGTTTATATCAGTACATCAGATGTCCAGATGCATGCAAATTATCATCGTAAAGATGCTGTTATTATTCAAGAAGGTTTTCAACGATTTCGTGCAACAGAAAATTGTGGTATAGCCAGTTGTCCATTCAGTAAAGAGCATACAACACATTTTCATTGTCGACGTAATAATTGTCATTTTACGTTTAAAAATAAAGCTGACATGGGTAAGTAGCTTTTCCTGTTACTGTGACCTTGTTATGATGATTATTGTAGGTCGCCTTACAATTTAGGACTCAATATTGTTTTTTTTTTAAATTAAAAACATTTTTGATTGGTTGGAGGGTTTTATCATGAGCTGACATCAGTTAGAGACCCACTGGAAAACCTATCTGATGTCAGCTCACGATGGAACCTTCCAACCAATCATACACAATCCCTACAAAACCGATACTTGATAATTAATCTGATGCTCACTAGCGACTAGTCCTATTCAGGCAGTTAACCTGAGGTTTTAGTGGGAAGGTGTGATCAGTAGGGTGCAGCAGGCTGAAAGTGAGGCAGTAACTCATCGAAGAAGAAGATATTGTGAAGTGGTCGCGCTATGTCATGAATTGGCAGAAGTTAGAATTCATGGACTGGTCATTGGATCGGGTCCCAGTGGCTTAATGGTCTACAAGCTAGCTCGCCTTGTAACCAGAGGTCCTGGGTTCGAACCCCATGGTGTGGATGCGTACTGATGAAGAGTCCCAAACTAGGCTGACGAAACAGCTGTCCAATACTCCTAACTGGTTTTCCAATGGTTCTCTAACTGATGTCAGCTCATGATGAAATCCTCCAACCAATCAAAGAAAATCCCTACAAAACCAGTGCTTTAAAACATTTTTGATATATACTACTGGTTCATTTAAGTAGCTGAATGACTACTCACTTAAAAAACTAATGGTGATCGCTAGCCAGATCGTAATCAGCTAAACACTGGAGGATCTGAGTTCATGAACAATGTACCAGGTTTAACTCATCTCAGAGAGTTGAATATGTTCAAACCACCAGCATTCTGAAGACCATTGAAGTCAGTTAATAGAATATATCACCATGCATTTTTGCTTGCTTTCTTGATTGCCATTCATGTGATATGAAGTAGATCAGACACATTGTGATCTGAATGTTTTAGATTTCCAAATGGAACTGTGGTGAAACTTCCCCCTCCTCCAGGAACTGTATAAATTGCAAGCCGAATACACTTTGACAGCTTTTCTACCCTAAATTTACGGACTATTTAAATCATTGTAACAATTACTCTATTTTCTCCATTATGAATAAGATTTCATTCTGATAAATCACACCGTGTTATACAGTAATATTAAGTGACGACCACGTTTCGAGAACAAGTTATTACTGCTCATAATCATCTCATCAATTCACTCACACACAAAAACGACCTAAATGATGAAATGAAACAGAGAGAAGAAGAGGCGTTGGTGTTAAATAATTAACTATCCTATAAAATTCATTAGGCATATCAAAAAGGTCAAAAACAAAATAAAAATAATGGTGAAACTAATAATGATAACACAAATAAGACAGAATATAAGGCATCTACAGTCCCACCAGATGAGAAGGGGACATCTGAGACACTCCCTACTTAGGATTCTCAATAAAGGAGGAATTACGGTGGCATTTAAACCTACAAACTCACTCAAATTGGACAAGCTCTATAGGTTAAAGGACCCAGTTGACCCAATTAGACAAAATAATATAATTTACAAAATACCTTGCAATGACTGTCAGTTAAGTCAACTACATAGGCCAGTCAAACTAGTGCATCGGAGGTAGTCAGACTGTTGTTTAACTAGTTGTAGATGTATGCCCATGACCTAACCCTCCCCGCCCCAGGGATCGGACCTGGGACATTCGGATTACCAGGTCAGCTCTCGAACCATTTAATGATTTTGCTAAGAATTCACTGACCTCTGAATTCCAACTTCCGTTAATTCACGCAGTAGAGCTCTCCTGCTGACCATTGTCAGGTTCGATCCCTGGTTGTCAACTGATGGATGTGCACTGTTGAAACTTCATAAAGTAGGACGAAACACTTTGTTTTGCATTTTCACAGAAGTTTGACACTTGTTTTTTAACTTCATTTTTATTGATCCTTCAATTTCAGAGAAGCATAAATTACATCATCAAAAAAATGATCGATATGCTCAGGATGGATTTCGTCGATATATAAAGTGTGAAAATTGTGACTTTCCAGAATGTCAGTACTCTGGTGTTATCAATCATATTCATTGTATACGACCAGGTGAGTTGAAGTGTCGCTTTTTTCGTTGTTGTTAATGCCACTGTCATATATCTCTAGTGTCCACAATCAGCATAGAATGTAACCCCTAGTTCTGTGAAATATCGGATACCTGAACAGTCAGGCGCATCAATTATTGATTCACATTTGTGATTTTCTGTCGATATATGTCGTTATAATTGGGGTCTTATGGTCTTTAGGAATGGTTCTTTTTTGGTATTTCGAACTGAGTTTAAACGTGTGCGTCAACATTGTTTGAAAGAGTTCAAACACACTGTAGCACTTCATTGCTGAAAAGGATAGAGCAGGAATACTTACTAACTGTCTTCAAGAAGAATGAATATCTACAAAATATCATCAAGAAATGTTTAAATTCATTCGAAATACCAACAAAGAACCATCCCCAAAGACCATAAGAAAATTCATTCTACCATATATTAAAAATATCTCTGAAATAACGGCTAGAATATTAAGGTCGTTTGAAATAGATATAGCACAAAAGCCAATACAATCAACCTATTCGATTATGTGCAGACCGAAAGACTTATCCAACAGAAAAAGAAGAAGATAAAATTAATACCATTTACAAAATAAACTTTATGGACTGCAATCAGCATTACATCGGTGGTCAAAGTGGGAGTCCCCTTCGAATCCGAATCCAAGAACACTAATTAGCTGTAAAAAGACATGATGTATATTCTTTCATATCAATGCATGTGGATAATTATGGACACTAATTCGATTGGGATAATGTAGAAATTTTGAGTAGAGGAAACTCCAAAAATACTGCCAGGGAATTTCTAGAAGCCTGGTACTCAAGTGAACCAGCCAGCGATTAACAAACACATTATTATAGACCCAATTTAAGAATAAATAGAAAATAAATCACGTGACAGGAGAGTTGGAATACCAAGCCAATAAATAAATGATCAATAAGAATGATATTAGATAGTTGGAGGCAATAGGCAGGAAGCCTTGGCGCTAGGTTTCGTGCTAGTTGGCACTGGTCAGCAAGGCGTACCTGTGACTGCCCAGAAGGAACTCATGTCCCTTCTGAGATTCGAACCCGCGTCACCCAGGAAGCGCTGCAGTCAGAGACGTTACCACTGAGCTATTCGTGCTCGCGACTGACCTCCTGTGCCGATTGCCTCCAACTATCTAATATCATCAAATCAATGTGCACTATGATGGCGAGCTACCTAGAATGGTAGCCACACTGCAAACCTGACTGATAGAATTCAGTCTGCACCAAAAAGAAAGGACTAGACACATCACACTAGTTACTAGTGTCCAATCAAAGGATCAATAAGAATGTAAATTAACAGGCAATCACATGTAACAGATTCTCTCAGGAGGATGTAATTATATCATCATTCAAATGTTCAATTTAAATAAGCATATACTGAAGATGTTGTCTCGAATGACAACGGAAGCTTTGGAATTAAATCAACCATCTCGGAGAACACAACCAATTTGGAATCATCCGCCTGAACTGCGAATTTCCTCCATTATATAATTTCATCACTAACCAACTTCGGTAATCCGCAATACACTGGTGTAATAGAATTCCGTCCGTACATTTCCTCTGAGAAAACTTGTTGGGAGATGTCGTCTGTTCCATTAGTCAGAATTAAATTTAACACGGTCAACAGATATCTGATAGGTTAAATATGCGTATTTTCGGAGAATTGGCACTGTCAGTAATTATTATAGAAGGGATTTTGGCGTCTTGTAAACTGTGTTATCACGCCCAACACTAAAATAAACGGTGAATAACACATTACACAAAAGTGTTTTATGAAGATTTCAGTGACATCACTGTCGATTAGTCATTGAAAGGCACAAAGTCCAGGTGAAGCATTTCTAACAAGTCACAGAATTTCATTAAAACTTGTCCACTTTGCTTGATACTGAAGATTAGGCGGCAGGTCAGAGTGGACAGGCAAATGACAGACAACTGTGACTGGCATCCAACCAACGAGGGACAAGATCACCCGACAAATAGTCTGAAGGAGATACAGATGGACTGAGAATGTGCTGGTGAACCATTCATATGGCGTCATATGTCAAGCCCGAGGCAGTATTATCTTTTGTTTTGATATCGAAGATCTCAACTATTTACCCGATTGTATTAGCTAACTTTGATGTATATTTTCATGACATTTTTAAAACTTTTTTTCGCCCTAATAGGATGTGACTATGTGATTCATTCGTCCAGTCAAATTCTCTCGCATAAACGAAAACACGACAGACGCTTCACCTCTTTCTCACCTAGACACCTAAGCACTGTATGTCGTGACGATTTGAGTCAAACATTTTCATCGATCAATCAAGATCAAGAAACAGATTCCGACGGTGTGATGACCACGACCACGGCGATGGCGACAGCGACGGCGACAAATGTAATTGGAGGTGGCAACGACACTGACTGTAATAGTTCTATAACCTCGCCTGTTACTGACACACCTGAAATCAATGGGAATTCAAAGCATTCTGTGGAAAACACTAAAAAATTCGCCGAAAACTGTGAAATTCCCGTACTTCAGCATAATAACTCAAATATGGAATTCTCTCCCAGTAAACTGTTTCATCCGTATGATGATTTAGACTTCAATATGACTGAACCAATTTCAATTACAAATTTGCTAAGTCAAGTTTCAAAACTTGTTGGTCTGTGTATTTGTCGACGTCAGAATTGTGCTGATGGGTCATTTTATGATTCTGATGGAGATGTCAATGGAAAGTGTATAAGCAAAGATCAGGAGAATACGCCAATCTGTACAAAAATTGATAAAATTCTTAAAACTTTACACCAATCATATAATCAACATTCGAATGAATGTTTCTGGCCTGGATGTCCTTCAAAAAGTGGTAAAAATGATGCTAAATTGCTCGGAGATGCGCCACCGAAATCCCTGTGTAAATATTGGTTATCACATTTATGGGAAGCTTGCCTTTCATTCTTTGCCTATGTAGAATGTGATCGACCCAACTGTCCAATGAAATCTATGCCCAATCATATTCATTGTCGTTTTTGGCCAAAATGCAACTTTACCAACCCTTCAGGTTATTCAAATTTTCAAGTACTGTATGAACACCTACTCCTACACGATGAACATTTCACCTCGAAATTAAACTATCCAGCATGTATTCAAAATGAATCCATTTGTAATCTAGCCCTGAACACATCGTACAACTTTATAAATCCAAGACGTAGAGGTCGACCACCAAAATATGCAAAATACATTCATGTGCCTCATCTAAATCCACCAGAGAATTTAAGAACCACTGATGACTACAGCAAAGATTTATCCTATTCCATGTTTTTCAGTCAACCGGAGGACAGCAAACCCGACAGTGTTGATCAGTGCCAGACAAACACTCGAATTGTTAGTGACTGTGATCAGTTTAAGCATATTCAACTGGGTGTTAAATTATTTCTCACCGGTGAAATTTGTCCCGATAGTAATTGTCCGTATTTTTCAACACGTAAAGAACACTATCATTGTGTTAAACCAAGATGTTATACAGCCAGTGATAGTCTGGATGTGATGAATACTCATCGACGAGAATTTCATCAGTATACAAGTATTGAACAAGGTTTTGAATACTTCGACACAAGTATTGATTGTCGACGACCTATATGTCATAATAATAAAGTACATAGACACTTTCATTGTATTTATCCAAATTGTGATTATACATTTGTTCGTGCTAGTACAATGCAACAACATGCTAAGAAACATACAGAGAATTTGAAATCTACTCAATCTGTCTCCGCTAAACACCATAGTATCACAAATCTTACAATGAGAAATGTTCCGAGTGATGATATACCTTCAGGTAAAGTGGTACTGTCAGAAACAGACAGTCGAATGAGTAATAAAGTCGCTGACGCACAGTCAAATTCACATAATGCTACAAAGCTGGATCCTGTTGTTCCACTTCTTCCATTGGGTCTAAATCCAGAACAATTCCCTGTTATCCTACCTAGTAATCAGAACACCGTCATCAACAACAATAACAGCAACAACTCGTCGGAGGATCATTTAAAAAAGCCTACTCTTGATGACCTTTCACAGCCTATAGAATGTACAGAGAATGGCTTATTACCCGGTTTACTTCCTATATGGGCTGCAGCAATGGCATCAGCCGCCGCTGCTACTTCTGCTATCACGACAGGATCAAGTTGTGATCTAACTTCAAAAGTTGATTATGGTTCTATGATGTTAAATGGATGTATGCCTGATATCCCTTGTATCAGTCAGCCTTTTAATCAATCAATAAAGTTGTGTATACCTTCAGAGAGTCATTTACCTGTGACTACAAGACAAAACAGTGTTCAAGTATGACTAATCTTCAGTACAAGGACAAAGAAACAGGTAAATATATATATATATGTATATATGTTGAGACTATGAAATATGTTGGGATTTGGGCTAATTTAATTTCAATCTTTTGATTTCTCCGTGAACGAACATCATTTAGCGAGGTCACTGGAGCCTAGGGAGCACTGGACAGCTGTTTCTCCCTAGTTTGGGGAGCGGCAACCTCACCAGGGATTGAACCTGAAACCTTCAGGTTACAAGACTAAGCTTGTTGACCATTAAGCAGACACTTGGGCGGGAATTCAATGACCTAGGTTTAAATGATCCCTTCAACTGATGCTGGTTCATGACGAAATCGCGGGGTGCAGTATAGACTTTCCGCCACCATGCTACTAGGTGGATCCTCATCAACATGCACTGTGAATTTTTGATATTTGATAGTTGGGAGCAATCGACAGGAAGCCCTGACTGAACTAGACTTCGAGTTTGTTGGCACTCACTAGTCAGCAAGTCGTGCATCTGCAGTCCTAAAGGAAGTTATGTCCCCATCGTCTGAGATTCGAACCTGTATCACCCGAATGCTGCAGTCAAAGACAGTACTACTGAGGTACTCGGTCTCGCCAATGACCTCCTGTAGGACTGTATTGTATACTTTAATTAGACACGAGGTAGTAACCGGTGTTATGCATCTGGTCTCTAAGTGTAGCAATGAGTGACACGGGTTCAAATCTTAGAAGGGACATAAATTCCTTCAAGACTGTAGATATACCTTTCTAAATGGTGGGTGTTATCAAGCACGAAACCTGGGTGAAGTGGGGGGGGGTCCTGCAGATTGCTGGCAACCATCTAACAGACTCATTTGTATAAAGTAAAATTGTTTACTGACTGAATAAAATGTCTGACACTTTCCAGTTAAAATACTGATGGCCAGGGAAAGGAAAGCCTTTGAACGAATTACTTTTAGCTACACATAAGTCAGCCTTCTTAATGTGGATTTCGACGACCTCAGCAATATGTAACAGATGAACTCTTAAGGGGAAATTAAGACCAGTTGGAATACGCTAGATAGCTTTGAAGGCCTTATTGACATCGATTTTGTGCTCTGTATCCAAAAGACGAAAGAGAATAGAGATGTGAATAGACCTTATTTATCCCTTGTCTAATTGCACCCTCCCCTAGTTGATCGACTCCACAGGAGCAGCCGGATTCCTAGATACACGCAGAAGAGGAAATATTAGGCAGTTTAATTGGGAAATTTATCGAAAGGGATATTATTTACTCGAACTTTTTATTTTGTGTTCTAAATATCTTAGTGGGAATTTTCACCATATTTTTAAAATAAGTCAAATCACGTTAAATAACAATCTGAAAAGCCCTCAACAACGGCATACTACAGTGCTGATGACCTGGAGACTGACATTTCAAATGCAGCATTCATTAAGTACTGCTAAACTTCCAATCTTCACATCAATATATGTTTAATATAAAAAAATATTTTTAGTACATTTATTTTCCTTGACTAAAAGTCGATTTTCTTGTCAAATTTTCAGATATAACCCGGTTGGATGTTCCTCTCGCTTCCCACTTCGCTTCTTCTTCCTCTCCTACTTCAAGTTTGAAATAACCTACTCTAAAACTGAAGGCACAAGATGTGTCACATGAAGCTGGAACAAACTGCAGTATTATTTTGTCGCGTAACACTATTATCTTACTGTAATATAGGGTAAGAATAAATTAAAAATTAAAAATGTGGTGCTCCCAGTATAGCCTTAAAAAATATACAACATTTAATAGCTACACAAATAAACTGACTACTCTCTTTAGCAAAAATCTTCAGAAATGAAAAATGAATTTTCTACATTTTACCTAAGTGGCCTTATCAATACAGTTCTTCGTGCTTTCCTTTTTGTAAACACTCTCATTGTGCCTTTTTCCATTAAAAGTAACATAAAACAAGCCAAACAGGCTATATGCTTTGGCTGTTAATGATTATTTATTGAACTTTGATAAAAAGCATTTCACTGCCTTCATTGTTCCCTCTAATTTTTCTTCTCATCGTTATGCTCATTTCTGCAAAATATTTTCAAAAGATATTTTAGCTACTTATTTATTAAATAGTAGTATAAAATAAAAATGCATAAAATTTGGATTCAAATGTCGTCTTCCAGTGAATAAATTATTGTATACTTACCACATCACTTTTTAACCATGATTTCTTCTAATGTAAATCTCTTTTTATAATAACCGGTTGTAAGTTGCCTTATTCTTTTGTTTTTCGATTTCACACTCTATTTGTAAAAATCAACTGACTTTAAGCAAAACGTATGATATTTATGAACCCCTTGAACTTTGTAAATTGTAAAATAACAGGTAACTTACTTTATTTAAAACCTTTACAAAAACACGTCATCCATAGATCCTACTCAGTTACTTGAAAGATTTCCATACGGACGAATAAAACATCCTTTGTGGATAGTTTGAAGTGACTCTTTACCCCGCCTTTTTATTTTATTTTAACTTATTTCAACTTTTGTAATGTATCGCTTTATAAATTTTCCATCCTTACAATGATATTACAATAAAAATACTAACAAAAAGAGAAATACCATTCAAACAAAGAGACATATTCATTCAACGAAAGTTGATTTCTTCTTCTTTAAGTTTTTCGTACCCACGTAATTTGAGAATTTGTGAATTTAATTGAGAGGACTAGAACACTAGAAGGAAGTAAATAAGCGCTTCTGAGTGTACGTCAATGATTCGATGGTAGAATGTTTTTCAGTCACGTGTCGGGAGGTCCAGCTTCGATTATAGATCGATGGACTCAAGAATCTAGCTTAGTTTACTAGCTAGGAAAAGGGGCGAAAGTTAGTTGTGAAATTAGCGATTCCATTCCGTATAAGGGACACTCCCTCCACTACTGAAATTTCAAAAATTGAAGTCGCATGATCCGACTGGGACGCAAAGAACGCATAAAAAGTGCTTCGGATGGTGAAGTAAGTGTAAGATTGCTCCTTAGCGAAGACACTAAGTGAAGCTGTCAATGTTTAATAATATATTTTTCAAGTGTGTTCGCAAGTTAATATGAGTTTGGAAATCATTGGAACCCAGGGAGTACTGGACAGCTGTTTCATCCTAGTTCGGAACTTTTCAGAGGCAAACAGAATGAAGTTAGAATTCACGGGTGATTGAATTCCAGTCAAACAAGGCCCAGTGATCAACGAGCTCACTTCGCAACCCCAAGGTACTGGGTTCGATCCCTGATGGGGTCGTTGGTGCCTACAGTTGAAGAGGAGTTCCAAACCAAAACCCACACACCTATCCAGTACTCCCTAGCTTTCAATGTTCCGTTGACAAACTCTTGAAAAAGTAAAATCCTTACAAACTAACCTCTGAGATCGTTCCTCTTTGTAATTGAGTTTCTGTTAATAACAGAGCCGTATATTGTGTAAATCAGTGTTAAAGTGTAGTTTACAGTTTTTGGTGATTCAGAATGTGGAAGTCAGTAAATAAATTAAAATAAATAAGAGAAATAGATGACGCCAATTCTACCTTAAGAGGTCACCTTAAGCTAACTGGTCAATTACCTTACTGGCAACTGAAGTGGGATGTCCTTATTATAATTAGTAGTCAGTTTCATACTAATTAGTCACCTATGTTTCCCAGGCATTCCACTAATGATATGCATCCAAAATCACACTAAAAACCAACAAAATTATTCAAATAGGGTCATCAATCTCACTTCGTGAACTAAAAGTCCTAAATTTGATGCTTGATAAAGTCATGGAGGTGCATCTCTGAAGAGCCTAAAAGTAGGATGAATCTAGAACAGGATAAGGAAGTAAGCAACTACTTCAAAGTGTGAGTCAATGATTCGCCTTTAGAATACTTGTTGGTGACGTGTCCAAAGATTCGATGTCAATTAGTGATCGAAAGACTCCTAAACCAAGCCTAATTTACTGGTCAGTAGAAAGCCAAGAAAAGAGGCGGTCAGTTAAAAGAAAAAGCGCCAACGCCAATGAAACTCAAGATCTTAAATTCATACATTCCACTTAGAATGCAAGCAGTCAAATAGTGTGCTTTTATTGGGCCGGTAGATTGAAGATTGAGTGAGTGCCCATCGCAGACCTTCTTGCCTCATAATTCAGTTTTTATCGTTAAAAGAATTCAAATGTTGAGAGCAAGTTATGCACCTCAACACGGCAGTGTATTTTACAGTATCCAGTGATTCGAAAGTTGAATTCAATCAGCAGAGTAAAACAGATAAGGAATTACTATTTATTATTCCCTCAAGGTTCCCAGTCGAATATATTGTTTCAGCAAGACTTCTCCATCTAACTGTGTTCTTGACAGTCATTTTCAGCTGACTCCATGACCGCTTATAAGTTTCCATCTTCTCCTCACACGATCTCTTCCAGGTCACACTCACACCCTCACTCAGCCCGTTGTATACCATTCGGGTTCCATTTGAGGGCTTGGTCGACCTAGTTTACTAGCTTACTAGTTTTCTAGCCGCTGCTAAGTCCAGTGAAATGGGGGTATATTGGGTGTGGAGCTATTGGCCCTATCCCAGAAAATAAATTCAGTCACTTCGAATCACCCAACAAATATACTGAATAAAGTGGAATGGGCAGACTATGAGGAGACCACCGGAGGACATCTCGCTCCAGGCCATTTCTCGGGTGAAACCCGAAATGCAAACGACAGGATCCGTGGATGACACGGAGGAGAACATGTGCGAAGAAGGAGGAGGAGATAAGAGCCTATGGACAGTTGTGGAGCCAGCTAGAGAGGGTCGCAAGGAAGAGGATGAAAAGGAGATGTGCTGTTGAAGCCCTATGTTCCAAGCAGGAGACAAGCCGATAATAATAATGAAAATAACGCTACATAGAAATTCAGTGGTGCATTTCCATTCCTTTCTGCTTTCTTCAGTCATATACAGCTGACTTCATGAGTGCAAATAAGATTTCGTCTCTCCTTCAGAATATCGCTGCCATGTCAGCCTTGGACACGTGGGTAAACTTTCGCCTCTCATTCCAGTCCTATTTGAAAATCAGGGGTGTCGTGTCACTCAAAAGCCTGTCTCATCAGCTCATATTTACTCCATCCCCGTTTCCGTTTGCATATTCGTAGGGTAGCGGGTTGTTTGCTGATTCGTTGACGACGGAATTCCTTATCACTTCTCCTTTCTTATCGGTCATCTATTCACCACCCGTAAACAAGAAGCTTTTTGACGTACGACTACAATTCAAAGGCGACATTCCTAACGAAATAATTACGAATGTGTTAAGAAAATCATTTCAAAGAACTTTTCATGCTGGCATGCTACAAGTCTTATTTTCTACAAGATGAACGGTTATTCCTGAATTGAAAGATGAAGTAAGTATAAAACTTGACCACTGTGGTAGACTATAACTCCATTATTGATAAGATTATATTTTGATAAATCAAACAATGTTGTACAGTACCTAGATTAGCTACTTCTAACTGTTTCTACCGATTCAACTGCACCTGTGGAGCAAGTTATATTGACCATTGCTCTAGGAACTTGATTTTTCGTGCCCACTCGGGAACATCTACCAGTGTGGCTAAGTAAAGGTGTAGTGAAAACCATGAACAGTTCGATATTATACCATTTGGTCCAAACGGGCCACAAAGCCAGTACATTAAAGAATCCTCCTCTATCACCTTCTGGGTACCAGATAAATTGCCAGTAACATCCAGGTACCGCATATTACAAACACAAGAGGCTATTACGATTTGCCCGAAACAACTGATGCTCTGTGTACAGAAGAAGCAAGTCTAGCCAATTCTACTGCCCTGGTTGGCCTTCAGTAGAGACAATAAATTCAAGAACTTCATACTAATATATTTTTCCTAATTATTCTGATCATCAGCGTATTTTTACGTTGATGCTATTGAACTGTAATCCATTGATGCTGTTATTCTTATTGATTCGACGTTATATAAATAACATTAATGTTGTTCATAACACTAATTCCTTCATCACTCATATATATATATATATATTATTATTATAATTACCACCAATGATATTCCTAATTGTGGTGGACTGGATTATGCGTCAGACAGTGGGAAACGAGAAGACAGGGATATCCTGGACAGACGTGAAGAACCTAGATAACCTGGATTTCACCGATGATTTATGTTTTGATGTCACACAAAATCGAAGACTTACAAGCGAAAACCGACAAACTGGTCGAAGAAGCAGGTGGCGAGGATGGGACTCCAGGTGAACATAGACAAGATGGAGGTTATGAAAATAACCAACCAACAACAACAACAACAACAACAGCAACATCCAGCGCCAATCACCATCAACGGGAGGGATTTAAAAGAGGTTACTTCATTCACTTATCTAGAGGGCATTGTCTTAACTACAGGGGGAACCGACGAGGATGTCAAATCGAGAATCGGGAAGGCGAGAAATACATTCATCAACCTGAGACCAATCTGGAAATCTTCGTCACTCAGCATCAACTACAAAATTCGGATTTTCAATACAATCGTCAAGTCAGTTCTTCTATACGGATCAGAAACTTGGCGGCGGGTGACAAAGAATATTTCCAACAGCCTGTTGCAGACCTTTATCAACAACTGTCTTCGTTCTATACTCAAGATCAGATGGCCGGATAGAACAAGAACCAACAAGAAACTATGGGAAGAAACAAACAAAACAAGAACCAATCGCTCAACAAATATGCAGGAGAAAGTGGAGATGGATTGGACACTCGCTGAGGAGGCCGCTGGGTGACACTGCGCTTCAGTTCCTCGAGTGGAACCCGAAAAAGAAGCGGCGAGTGGGACGTCCAAGGGTGACATGGAGGAGATCGTGTGAAGAGGAGTTGAAACAGTATGGACTAACATGGATGCAAGTGAAAAGTACAGCAGAAGACAGAGGCAGGTGGAGACGTGCAGTTGAAGTCTTATGTTCCACTAGGAACCCAAGGGAACCATAATAATATATATATATAACTGTAGAACCTGATGATGAGGGAATTATCGAAAAAGATATTCTTTGTTCAGTAGCAACCTAATGTTCATTCAGTATGGGGTAAAGTTAGCTGCTGATGAAAGTTTGAATTAGATTGTTGGAAATGCTCCTGTGACATATTTGCCACATCTCCTGACCATATAGAAGCACTGAATTGAGATGAGTGTTAAGAGACCAGATCTTGTTCAATATGCATGATTCTTATCGAAAATTAAAAGCACCAGAAAATTTGTTTTTTTATCAAGTGAATTTATTTGTTCAAATGACAATCTGAAATCAATAATTTCTTCTTCATAGTTTGACTAGAGTTATATAGTAGAAAAAAGATTACTTGTTTCAAATCGTTGTTTAAATATACTAATACAATACAAATAGATGTCGCGCGGCAAAATCAACACACAGTTAGCATTGAATTTTATCCTCATTGTACAGGTACATTATCCCCTATGGTGGTACCGAGACTAGACCAGCTGGCCCTTGACCCATTTTTTGAGTGTTGAGTGTAGTTTTCAATGGTTGGAAACCAAGTTCATTTTGAGGTATACCGAATTGTTGTAGTTTTCCTTCACAAGCCAATAAGAGGTCATTGTGTGCCTGAATAATTAAAAATAATAGCAAAATCAATATTAAAACTGTAGGGACAATAAAACAGACTTATTTGAAAAACGCAACAAAAATTTCCTGAGGGAACTCTCAAAGAAACTTATAGAGACTTGTGCTTACAACGATTTAAAACCCCGAAGGTCTCATTCGCCTTATGCGTATGGTATACTGAAGCCACTCAAACAACATGTCCCCTTAAGACCTATACTTTGCTATGATCAACTCACCTCAGTATACAGTTGCACGTTGGCTTGCATAGAAGTTGGGACCCTGTTAGTCGGCAGCTAACTGTACGCACTGTGAAAGTTTCATTCCATTTCGATGAAAGCCTAAGCCAGATGAACGTTTCCAATAAATTTATGGGGTCATTTGATGTAACCTACCTGTTGACAAGTATCACAATTAATGAAACTATCGGCATTGTTTGTCGAAGCTGTAATCTCTCTTAATCCCAGTGCCTACTACAGACAACACTTTTTAACATCAAATAAATGACACAGTTATGGATAGTCCATGAAGTCCTATGTTAGCAAACACCTTCACGGCTAACTTTGAGACAACAAAATGGACCCATGAAATCGATGAAACAACTTCTTATTGTCGATATATCAGAGATACGCCTGCAGTATGCAACAATGAAACGCGTAAGTCTTACCTATTTGGACTATCCAGTGAGGCATATGCAAGTGACGGGAAGTTTCGTTTCCTCAATATCACCATCCAGCGCACGGAAAGTGGTAATCTTCTCATATCAATTAATGGATAGTACTTAAATTTCACTTATCGGTTTTGTAGGGATTTCGTTTGATTGGATGGAGGATTTCATCATGAGCTGACATCAGTTAGAGAACCACTGGAAAACCTGGGATTACTGCACAGCTGTTCCATCCTAGACTGGAACTCTTCATCAGTACGCACCCATCGTAAGGGGTTCCAACCCAGCACCTTCTGGTGATAAGGTGAGCTCGTAGACCATTGAGCAACTGGGACCCGACCCAATCGTTAAATTTCAATCGATTTTGTCTAAATAGGTGTATATGAGCACTGGTGAAAACACTCTTTAATCGAGTCAGAAGAATATGTTCTTCGTAAAAATTAGAGGAGGAATTGCTGATTCTCGGATAAATGTTCAGAAGCAACGGTTAGTCTCAGAAATTCATTAACAAGTAGGGAAGATATGAAGTTGCGAATGCCAAACAAATCACAGTGGAAAAGAAGCCGACCTCCAAACACCTTGATTTCAATGGTGATAATATAGCAGGATTACTTGACAGCAGACTGGAAACCTGAATAGGTAGAATCTATTCTGCAGCTAAGTTGATCCGCGTTTCTCGGACAACGTGTACTCTGGTGTAGTCGAGGGTCGAGAGATACCCTTCTAACGTTAACTCTACCTCTGTACGCGCAAATCTACATGTATGTGAGGTAGCAGTAACACTGAGAAAACAGCAAGTAAAGCGCACCTTCAATTCTCTTAACACATGCCCAAAAGCCTACGTCATAATGGAACGAAGGCTTTCAATAGTGCTGTTTTCAGCCATTTCGTCAATACTGGTCATGAGGTGGACACCATGAAATCTTTAAAAATTATTCCTAGATAAAATATTTCAATGCTGCACAAGTTTACCAAAGCAAGTGCTGTCAAACACCTGGAAACCCAATTCGTGCCTTCAGAAATAAGCACTTATCAATCTTTCCTTGCTATGGTAACTCGACGTCATCACCCTCTCATTTATTTGATAACATGGTAGTTGTCTTCAACCTTTTTCCCTTCACAACAATGTAACTGCTCTTGTCTTTTGTTCCTATGTTAAAAAATTATTTTGCATAGACAATCTTTAGAATTTTAAATATTCTCTTTGTTGAAATAAGAGAACAAGACACAAAAGAAAACCAGCACTTGAAAACTGTTGTAATACTCATTAGCGACTCATGACAGGATAGATTTGCCTAAAGTTCTAGTGAGAAGTCGTTGGAACAAATGCTCACCAATGATACGAGTTACTGTCAGCGTTATGTGTCTCGAATCATCAGAAGTTAGAATTCATGGGCCGGTGGATTCCGTCCCACTGTATTGCTTATGACAGTTTCTCAGAAAGTTAAGCCATATATCTGCGAATCGTATTTGTACACGTTTAGTCTGCTGTGATTGGCTGGTGAGTTCCTCAATGTTAAACTTAGCTATTGTTTTTTCCCATGACCACGATTCGGGACGTAAACATTGACGTAAATTTATTGTCTACAATTTTGGCTTGCAAACAGCTCTCACCACAGTAATACTGTTATTATATATGGAAAACTTAGGCACTGCGGCAGCAGCTTGTAGTTCCATATCATTTCGGTTATTTGATGCATCACAAAGTGAAACAGTATTATTTCCTGGATGACGATGTTTCGAACACTATTTACTGTTCATAATCCTATGAATTACAACTCATATTATTACAAACAATAAATTGTGTTCAAGGCATTGTAATTTTATGAATAATACTGTTCCACTGTGTGATATTTCCAATAAGAAAATTAATCTGAAAGCAGCACTACTCCTATATGTATGGCCTGGTGTTGATAGCCTCACGCTTAACTTTCTGTCGTCACCCCGGCTAACTATCATCTAGTAAACTGGCTGGGGCTTAGGAATATGTCGACAGGGATTCGAATCTTGGTTTTCTGAGGGTTTGGCAAGCGTAGTACCATCGAATCACAGACATATGACAGCATCACTTATTATTATTGTTATTGTTGCCACGGGTTAAGAGTGGTACAGTATTTCTCCACTTTGTCCTATTTTCTGAGGTCCTCTTCAGCCGGCCCCACGATCGCCCATAGGCTCTCTTCTCCTCCTTATTTGATCTTCTCCATGTCACACTCGAAGCGATACCCAACTCATCGTTTCCCACTCGGGTTCCACTCGAGTGATGGCCTGGTGTGAGATGTTATTTGTCGGTCTCCCCAGCGTCTGCCTAATCCGTCTCCATTTTTTTCTACATATTTGTTGACCAATAGGCTCATGGTTTGTCTTGTCCCATAGTTTCTTGCCTCCAATTCTTCCTGGTGGGCCATTTGATCTTCAGTAGGGGCAACTGTTGATGAAACTCTCCAACCTAATGGAAATGCTTTTCGTTACACGCACTCTGAGTTCCTGGCTTATATAGAAGAATTGATTGACTACACATTGTTGTTGAAAATCCGAACCTTGCTCTCTGTGCTAAGTGATAGCACAACTTAGTAGATTATATTAGTGGTGTAACTGAATGCTGGAAATTAATCTGGTGCTCGCTAGTGACTGGCTAAAAGGACGACGTTGTCTAGAGTTATAGTACGAAGGTGTGACCAGTGGGGTCCATCAGGTTGGGAATGCGGAGAAATACTCGCCTATGACATTGGCTGGTGGCAACACCAAAATCACGAATTGGTAGAAGTCAGAATTCATGGGATGTTGAATCAGTTCTCCAGTGGCTGAATCGTTGACTTGTAGCAAGGAGGTCCTGAGTTCGAATCCCGATGAGTGATTACTGCTGGAGAGCGTTCAATTAGGATGAAACCGCTGCCCAGTACTCCTTGTTGCTTTCCAGTCCTTCTCTAGCTGGTAAAAATCCGTGAAACAAATCAAACCCTTACCAACAAACTCTTGAAAGTTCATGAATATAATTGAAGAGATATATGGTTAGAGATATACTCCTTTCCAAGATTAATAATGAAAAAAGATGCCAATAAACAAATCTTTTAGTTATGATCACCAATACACTGTAGACAGCAGTGAATGGATTAGCTTTTTTCTGCAATATTTTATCTTGTTTGACGTTGAACGATTGAAATCCACGACGTGCTTTCTGTGCATTCTTTGGGACTCCACACCTGCATGTATCTGCACTCCTTGTCTTCAAATAAGGCAGTGACAGATAACTCATCAAGCAGTAGTGTCTCAAACCTTAACTGGAAGACCGCTAGAGACTGCTGGTTCAAATCCTACAGAGTACCATAAAGACATCATCTAGATTCAATTTGTTTTCTAAACTGTTTTCAACACCATGAACAAATTTCTTCTGAAATACTCACTCCGAATTAAAACAGAAACTATTACATGTAAAATATTCAAAAGTTACCTTACAAACTCTTGCTAATTCATATTGAAGTTCTTTTATTGTACCATTTTTAGAATCCAAAATATCCTTAGAAGTACATGAAAATAAGAATAAAGTGTAATTATGCACGAGTCAAATTTATTTTCAAGTTGTTTCATATTATTAAGAGTAAATTTAAACAATGCTATGTAACTGTATATAAGATATATAAACAAGCTCGAAATAATTTTTTAAAATTTCCTTTGCCTACTAATGAGTAGTTCAAAATTTGCTTAAAAAATGTAGTGACTGTGAAATTTCTAAAACAACTTAGAAACCATTCCAACTTCACCCGATATTACCGCCAAAGTGGACTACATTTTAAGTATTGGTGGGAACGAAATTGCGTGAAACTACGTACTGATTCATTGAGATGAGTAGTTATATACCACTCCAAGTTCCTTCCAGTGATTAAAAATATACCCAATAAATTGACAGGTAAACCGCAATTCCATAGCGTAATAACTGTCAGGAAGTTTACTGTCAGAAGATGATATTTCCAGATCAATTTATCAAAGTGACCAATAAGCCGATAAATGTGTGAAAATTGGGACTGTGGCAGAATGCAATTCCATATTAATTTGTTTATTAGATATATCATACAGTGAGTGAAACGGTATTATTATTTATTGGATGACAAAGTTTCGAACGCAGTTTATTGTTCAAAATCGTATCGTCGATTATAACTACACTACTTCGAAACTTAGGTTTTATAGTTTTTTATATTCTCTGCTATTTGTCGTACGGGTAGTAGAATTTTTCAGATGTCTGAGTGGACAGGTGTTGAATCATTCATATTACACGTATTTGCAGTAGATTAGATAAATAAAGCTTCCGTTATCAATCTTCCCCTCTACCCTGTTACATTAGATTTTAAAACTGTCATTTTATCCCATCATCCTATTGAATGGTTGTGTGTAATCGCATGTGGTGAGTGGTATAGTTGAACTATTCTCCAGATTTCTTATCTTGTTCGGGTCAACTAATCTAGATTCTGCTAGGTTTTTATGCTCCACTAGTCTGACTGACTGACTGTTCTACTACTTTAACCCATTCATGTATTTGACCTGACAAGCATTCCAGCAGGGTATTAGATAAACTTAATTGTTTTGTTTTATGGGCTCCATAGGATTGATTCTTCAACCGACAAAGCTTGTTTCTAATTGAGTTTGTGGGTTTCAATGCCAGCCACTTTTATTCCTGCCTTGTTAAGAATTCTCCGCTATAAGGTTTCCGAGGTTCCTTCTTTGTATGGAAGTTTACTGATGATTGAAATTCCCTATTGCTGGGGTTTTCTTTATCCTGTGCATGTTTAACATGCATGCTGTCATTAATATTAGTATTATTAACGCTATCACTGCTATTATTAATAATTCTATTTTTATATTTTCCTACATGCTTCTTGATTAATTTATCAAGGTAAAAGTGATATTCATACCCACAAACTCAATGAGAAATAAACTGTGTTGGCCGAAGAATCGTACCAATTTATTAGGTATATTTTTAATCATTCGGAGATAAAATCCTCGAATAGTATTGATTTCTGAAAACTTTTCAACTTGAATTTCCATTCCAGAAATTATATAAGTTGTATCCTGGAGGAGATAATGACAATTCGCTTCAGGAGTCATCATTATGCAGGAACGCTCAATAGCCCAATTAAGAAATATTTAAAAATCACATGAATTATTTGTTTTAAATAATTATGATTACTGATATCCGTTGCAAAATATATGGTTATCGTAGCCCAGATGCCTAGTCACAAGTACATTTACCTGGGGAGTTCCAAACAGGATGATAAATGAAAATCTTGGAAATATGTCCGAACAGATGTGACATTCTAGTCAGGCAAAACCAGCAGTGTGAAATTACAAGCAAGAATAGAGAATTCCTCCACAAATGATACTCGGTGCTAAAAGTTTTAGTGATAAAGCCCACGATGTTAGGCATGATGGCTCCATCATCATACATCACTGAAACATAAACTAAGGGAATTAGTTTTTGAGAGGGCTGGGGTACTCACTGCCCGGATGCCCAGACCGATTCAAGAAGTGAATTTAAGGCAGTACTCCCCTAGCCTTTAATTTGAAGTCTGATCCACAAGGTAGTAGAGCAGCGTCAGAAGCGACGTTCCCATGGTAATCAGTGATGAAAACAGGTTCATACGCAATTCCATTCCTATTGGATTCCAGCGTTTGTGTATATCATCGGTTTGGAATGGGAGGTTTCAAGCTCCCGTGGGCAGACCTGCATATCCACCAGTAAGTTCACACTTGTTCTTTCACCTCTGTAAGGAACACCCCTTCAGCAGCATGAAGACAGAGAATAGGAATTATCTAGCAGGGACTAGGAAAGTGTAGTCATATGATATCTTTTTGAGTGGAAGATTGAAATCCACCGACCCTCGACTGTGCCAGGTCATTTGTTGGAACTAGCATAACTATGAATATTACCGACGGATGATGAAAAACTCGTACTAACCGTCAGTTCTTGTCACTAACAAAGAATATATATGTATTCAACTTACTCCTAACTTTCGTGACACCGTTGCCATAGAAATAGGATCTAGATTACTTGCTGATAATACTTCACTTAGCTGCGCTTCTTTCTTTTCAATTGTTTCAGCTAATGCATTTAAACGTTTCTCTAACAGGATATTCTTTAATCCACATTTCTGTTGAACCTCTTGAATGGCTAAAACAAACTTGTCGTATAAATCATCACGTTCATTTTCAACCTAAAAATAAGGAAAATCGATGAATTATTAGTACACAAGGAGTAAGGAAGCTGCTTTAATTTTTTACAAATAGCGCTTTAAGTGACAAAAAATCATATTCATTCCCCTTCCAATTAAATCGCCGGGCTTCAAGCTTTGAACTTTCAAGTTGCAGTAACAGTGGTGTTTATTTTTTAAGGAGTGAGGTTGCTAGCCACACACTGACAAAACCTTCCCACTTTACCGGGCTTGCTACCAGCCAAGCGAAGTTTTGTAGTGCGTCCACTAGCTGGGAATCAAACTCCGGACCCCGTGGAATGTGCTTGACGCGTATTCCACCAATGAATCAGCGATATTGTCTTCTATCTGACATCTGTTCAGTTTTAATTAGACACGCTTTTTTCTTGACCTTATACACATCTTTAACCCCGTGAAAGATGCATCTCAAGAGAGTCATAATGGTTTTTTGTGGATAAACACAATAATGTACTGTTCCAATCATATGACACCTGCTTATATACTTTACGAATTCTCCCAATGGTGTCATTGTCATTTAACGTCCTTCAGTAAGTGACTTTCCACCCTAAATTTGGCTAAATCCTCCCTGAGGTCAAGCGGAGTGAATCCAGCCGTTATTTTCAGGTGAGTTTAACTGCCTTCAAGTTTTAAAACTAACTACTTTGCTTGAAATCTTTTCAAAGAACACATCATTTATATAATTAGTTCTCCAAATTTTTGCCTGAGAAGTGTTTAACAGGTGCGAAACTCCCAGTGATATTCAAGGAATCATTGTAAGCATTGATAATACGGTCAGCGCTATCGCATGAGTAATTCAACCAGTGAATAAATGATTGAATGGTCAGTAGTCTCGTCTCATAACCTGAAGGTTATACGTTCAGTCCCTAGAAGGGTCATGGATGCACGCTTCGAAAGAATTCAGTTAAACATCGATAATTTAATCACAGAATACTTGCCAACCACTTGGAAGCGCCCCGTTCGATTCCCAGACGACTCACTTCTTAACCCCGGCTAGTTTACTACCTTATAGTAAGCCCAGAAAGAGGGAAGGATAAATGAGAGGCTAAAAGTCCAACCTTTTATAAACAGCCCCAGTAGCTGCTGAAACTTTCACTTGGAAGTCAAGGAACGAAAAACAGGATGACATCCAGTGACACGTGAATTCTAACTTTTTCCATTTCGCGACACATATAAAGCTGATAGATCATCAGAGAGTTTCTGTCGGCGAAGTTCAACAATAGCGTCCCAGGAGTGCGAACGCTCTAATAACCTTAAACGCATGCTAGTCGTTGGCTAACAGCATCTGTCATTATCACAGCTGAAATATCAACGTTATTCACCAACTAAGGAGCAAATTTCGCCCAGATCACGTTTTTAAGTACTGTTGCGACAATGTGTTAATAGCTCGTTAGGGTTAAGGTAAGTGTTGGCGTTGGAGTTAGGATCAGGGTTAGAATAATGGTTTGGATTAAAAAAGTTATGATTAGGGTTAGGATTAAGTTCAGGGTTAGTGTTAGGGTCAGCGTTAAGGTTAGGGTTACAATAAAGGATAGATTTATAGTTGATGACATTTGTTTTAATTTGTTTTGTCATCCACACTTTCCTGGTAAGTGGTCGTTGGTCCTCTTACTGGAAACCACAGTAATCCAACCGAGGGCTCTGGGGAGGACTGCACAAAAAGATAAGAGAGATGAACGATTCACAAAAACATCTCATCTTCAGTCACCTCGGTGAATACATGTACAGAAAATAGTCTAACTTAGCAACTGACACTGCTCACTACAACTGGAATGTATTTTTAAGTAATGTCAGAGAAAGATAACCTGTTTAGTGTGTTTTCATGCATTTTTTGTAAATATGTACGTCATTTTTGTGCAAAAATTCATTTTTATGACTGGTCGGCTGAAGATCACCCGTGTGTTTGCTTCCTTTGGGACGCTATTGTTGAATTTTGCCTTTCTGCCTTGTACATTCAACCCTGTGGATTCCATCGATCATGAGCTGTCACTTGAACTTCAGGCATTCCATCCTGTAATCTGTCACTAATGAGCTGTAGATTAATTTCCATCTGAAAATAACTCACACTTTTGAAAACGCTATTATTTAAAAAATATCACTGACACCACTTGACAGATTTCTCAAATGAAATCAGTGTGATCCAGCTATCAGACGAGTATTCTACTAATTTAAACCCAGCTTTTTAGGAGTAAATACCTACAATTCTTATCAGGTACATATTCTTGTCGAATTTACCAGTTAAATTCCTGGAAACCTACACTTGGAAATTAATCTGACACTAACCAGCGGCCGGTTTTATACAGTAAGTTACCTGGAATTCTAGTGAGAAATCGTGACTAGCAGGGGACGTCCTCCAGGTCAAGTAAGAGGACATTTATTCTCCTATGACAATGGCTAGCAGTTGAGCTGTATGTATTGCGAATTGGCAGCATATGGAATTTATGAGCCATTGGATAGGGGCAAAGTTCAACAATAGCGTCGTTCCAAGGGATGCAAACACACGGTGATCTTCGGTCAACCAGTCATAAAAATGAGGGATTTTTGCACAAAAATGACGTACATATTTACAAAAAATGCATGAAAACACACTAAACAGGTTATCTTTCTCTGACATGACTTAAAAATACATTCCAGTTGTAGTGAGCAGTGTCAGTTGCTAAGTTAGACTATTTTCTGTACATGTATTCACCGAGGTGACTGAAGATGAGATGTTTTTGTGAATCGTTCATTTCTCTTATCCTTCTGTGCAGTCCTCCCCAGAGCCCTCGGTTGAATTTCTATGGTTTCCAGTAAGAGGACCGATAACTACTTACCAGGAAAATGCGGATAATAAAACAAATTAAAACAAATGGCATCAACTATAAATCTATCCCTAATCGTAACCCTAACCTTAACTTTGGCCCTACCACTAACCCTGAACTTAATCCTAACCCTAGTCATAAATATTAGCCAAACCATAATTCTAACCCTGATCCTAACTCCAGCGCCAATACTTACCTTAACCCTATTCCTTACCCTAACGAGTTATTAACAAATTGTCGCAACAGTACTTTAAAACGTGATCAGGGTGAAATTTGCTCCTTAGTTGGTGAATAACGTTGATATTTCGACTATGATAATGACAGGTGCTGTTGGCCAACGACTAGCATGCGTTTAAGGTCATTGGGGCGTTCGCACTCCTGGGACGCTATCGCTGAACTTCTCCGGATAGGGTTCCAGTGGCTGAATGGTCTACGAGCATGCCTTGCAGCCGGAAGCTCGTGACTATGAAACCCAGTGGATGTATACTGCTAAAGAGTCCCATACCAGGACAAAAACTTGCTCAGCATACCCTGATTTTCCAATCGTTCCCTAAATGATATTAATTCGTAACGAAACCTACAGTATATTTCTTAATGAGCGTCAAAAGTAGAGACTACACAAGGCATTCTGATAATTAATATTAAGGTTATCTTATTTGTGGTATAAAAGTAGTAACAATATTATAGGAAAACAGTACTTACTTGCTTAAATCTCTGTTCTAAAATATCATATTTCCATTGAATGTGTTTCTTTTCTTTTTCAGAAGTCTTTAACAAAACTTTAGTTTGCTTCAAAATGAGAAAGTAAGAAGGTTATAACATAGTGAAAAATAAATAGAAGGTTTTAATTTTACAAACAAAGTTATATTTGGTATTAGATGGTTGGAGGCAATCGGCAGTAAGCCTTGCCTGACCTAGGTTTCGTGCTGGTTGGCACTCATCAGCAAGGCGTATCTGCATCCTCGAAGGAACCATGGTCCCTTCTGAGATTCGTACCCACGTCACTCAGTGGTGCAGTCAGAGAGGTTACCACTGAGATATTCAGGCTTGAGATTACTGACCTCCTGTAGGACTGTATTGGATTATTTTTTGACTGGGCACAAGTCAGTAACTAGTGTAATGTGTCTAGTCCTATGTTAGTTGCAGACTGAATTTTATCAGTCAAGTTTGCTGCGTGGCCACCATGCCACTAGGTTGCTCCCCACCACGGTTCACTGTGAATTGTTGGCATAAGATGGTTGGAGTCAACTGGTAGGAAGCCTTGGACCTAGGTTTCGTACTAGTTTGCACTCAACAGCAGTTATATTTTCATAAGATGTGACTAGGGCTGTTTTACTCTAATGTCCTTCTTACAGAAACTTTCTGGACATTCCTTTTCTTCATGTGTTCTTCTTCATAAGACATAACACATGGATCTCTGAGAATATCCATCTGGCGAAAATTGAGCATAGAATGGACAGTGAAAAAGTGAAAGAAATCCTGCCTATCCCCATTTACAATAAAATGTGAAGGATTTGTAGTTCGGATTTCATTGATGTACAGCCTTCCTTCTTCACAGCCACGCTAGCTGAAAATGGCTATCCAAACTGATGTATTTGTAGGAACATGAAGCATAAACATTCTAAATTGATCACTAACTCAGTTCTGTAGAAAACCATCACCATGAATCTGGAATTCAAAGATGGTTAGGCTTTAGATATGCTTAAAATCCATGAGTGAAGCTTTCTTCATGGCAAAACTGCAGTTATCCTTTATGAGCCGGAAGTTATTCCCTTTTTTTGTAAAAGATGATCTCCCTTGTTTGACAACCTCTCTATACACCGATCATTTCAAGTGTTCTTGTGGAACAGAATGCTTTCCACACAGATAAGCAATCACATTCCAGTGTAGTTGTGCAAGGGTGGAAGAAAGATTGTGGGAAACTGTATTCTAGAAGACTTTGTCCATTTCTGACACCCAACCAATCCTAACAATGATTTTTAGATTATCTCTTGAATGTATTCTGGTTTGCCACATTTTCTTTGTTTCAAACTTCTAAAGACAGAGGAAACCTTGGCTATTCATAAATTATTACGATTGTTCTCACTTTGAACAGTTTCTAGTACCAATTCTCATTATTTTAAATTAAATGTATTTATATTTCAGTGTTTTAATATATCTTATCAAATTTCTCACAGTGTTGTGTAGTGTCCTATTAGTCTGCCAGCCCTACTAATCCTATAGCCTTTTCCAGGATCTGTACATCTCACAAACTATTTCATAGAAGGTGTTATTTGTTTTATGCATATATATGATTGCACAACTTGCTAATAAATTTTTTGAAAAGAGTCTCTTCGGTGATTATCGTGCTTTTATTATTCAAAGTTGAAATTCCCAGGTATCAAGCCTAAGGATGCATCTGTTGATGAAAGTCGCCAGTAGCCTTTTGAAAATACTTCCAGTGACCTGCCAAATCTCTGAGCCATTTGGAAGCACTGACATGAAATCAGTATTAAAAAATCGAATCATGTTCCTTGTGTTGAGTGAAGCTGATTTTCATACCCAGTATTAAAGTACTACATGTTTGTTATGCCTTCCTGATTCCCACTGGCTCTGATTTCCTCATCCATGTCACATACCTGCAGTCGAAATAATGCTGCTCAGGTAAATAAAGGAGATGACTTCCTTTAGATCATTCCCACTGATAATCACTTGGTGTATTCATCGCCTCTAGCCTCAAGATCTTCACCCCTGAAATCCTGTCTTTGCTTCCGCTTCCACCAATTTGTCGGATTTCATTTTTTCAATCCTTAGGTTTGGCAACCTGGGCAGCCTTCCCAGCTTTGTACACTGTGCGAACATTCCACATCCTCGTGCTTATTTTTCCTTTCATCTTATGAAGACACATTGGTTGACTGGCTTCCATCATCCCTCGTCTTTCTGTCTCTCTAGTTTCAGAGCAGAACAAGTCTGTATTTGTATATAGTTGTCGTGTCTGGGCTTTGGGCGGGTTAGAAAGCCAGATAACTAGTAAGCTAGGCGAAGTTAAGATGGTTGGAGGCGATTGGCAGGTAGCCTTGGACCTAGGTTTCCTTCTTATCCATCCTCACTATTCAGTAAGGTGTTTCTACAGTTTTATGGGATTTAGTTCCCTTCTGAGATTCGAACCTGTATCACCCAGTGCTGCAGTCGGTGACGTTACCACTAAGCAGACTATGGCAAGCGAGAATACAGGAATACATTGGGCCGATAGGAAGACTCTATATATATGTCTCGTGTTACATAAACTCGGAGACTTATGAGGGGGGGGCGAAACAATGAGTTGGTAGAAAATGTAGAAAAGCCAAGACTTCAGGTGAACATAGGGGAAATGGAGATAATGGAGATAATCAACCAATAATTACAAGCACAGACTTTTATCAACGGCTGCCAGCCAGAAAGAGTTAGCAACAAGAAACTCTAACGGGTAACGAACCAACAGAGAACCTATTGCTCGGCAAATACGCCTGAAGAAAATGGAGATGGTCTGGATAAACGCTAGTAGGAATGTCGGGTGATATCGCTCGTCAGGCCCTAGAGTGGAACCCCAATTGGAAACGATGAGTTTGCCATTGTATCGTGGGTGACTTGGAGCAGATCGTGTTGGTAGGTTATGGGAGCTTATGGGCAGTCGTGAAGTCAAGTGAAGAGGACTTCAGAGAACACGACAAAACAGAGATGTGCTGTTAAAGCCATCTATTCAACTAGGAACCACAGGGAATGGTTATTTATTACTATTAGTCTTAGGCTTTTTGTGGCATAAGATATAAATCCAAATCTTCTAGGGTCTTTTCATCAGTTTAGTAAAAGTGGAAAAGTTGAACTGTTCTCACCTAGCCAACATCTACCCATAATTTATAGTCCTACATTAAGTTTATCAATCAACAGGCAATCAGTCATACATGACTTACCTTCAGTACAACTTTATCTTTCTCATAATTGGTCATTTGCCTTTTCATTTCAACATTTTCTTCTCGAGCTTTATTCAAAGGTTCAACGAGCCGACGATTTTCTGCTGCTATCTCATTCGCACGACGTTCTAGGCGTTCTTCATTCTTTTTCCTTTCTTCCAACTGTTCCTGTAGTTTATAAAGCGAATTCAGAATAATTTTTTGAAATTCTGTCATTATTAAACATGCAACAGAATAAGCAAAAATGATGGATAGTGTTCGCAGGTACTTTTAAAATACACCTTCACCCATAAGCAAACTAAATTAGCTAATGAAAGTTTTCACAGACAGTCTCCAACTCCTATTAGATAATCATTTACAGCGTTAAACCACCATATGGATGTGGCTATGCGTCCAAAGCCTACTCTTACTGATAAGGAGTTGCTATAAATATTATAAGACCTAAGGTAATCATCCCATTTGAGAAAGAATAAAACTACATCGAATACATCCGTGGTACCCTTTTTATGTGATGTTAAACATCGTACAATGTAGGCGCCACAAAATGCACCACACATAATCACATGGTTTCTGCTAGGGCTTGGAAACCTACTATCTGGGGTAGGGGCGCTCCCTCTCCAGGCTTTCACTTGAAGTCTGATCCCGACACTAGGCAGTGGAGCAGCGTCAGAAGCTGTGTTACCATTGCTGTTGGTGATCAAAATAGGTTCATGCACTATTCGATCTTCTCGGATTCTGAAGCCCTTGTGCACCACAGGTTTGAAATCAGAATTTTCCAGCTGTCCAACTAGGTAGACCTGCATGTGCGCCAGTTTAGTTCGCACTCTCCCTTCAACTTCTGTGAAGAACACCGCCACATGAAGGCAGGGAATAGGGCTTACCTAGAAGAGTCCACATTTCGAGCCTTTCAAGAGGAAAATAGAAGCCTACCCACCCTCGAACTAACAAGGTTGTTTATGCGACCCGCGATAAAAGTCACACAAAATTTGTGCCTAAAACAATTAATAAGTCTCACTTTATTAATGAATTTGCACTGTAAGAGATAGAGAAAACGTCGTTTATACTTTTATGTGTGGATATAACGTGAGAAAATGGTGAAAGGCTAAATATAGACACTGTCTTCAAGTTCGGCAGCTTCCATTTGATAACATCAACCTAAACTTCATTAGAGCATTGTAGCAAAGAACTAAGAAACCATATTCTAAGGATAAAACAATGGGTGAATGTTCTTTTACTAATATATATTAACAGAAAAGTGCTTATGGTGTAAAGTTATTCAATAAATGGGGCAAGAAAGTTGCCTTAAGGCTCTGGTAAGCAGATCTGAAAGAGGGTTGTTTTCTGCTTGGCTAGTCGGAACTCTAACTCTCTTCTAAAATAGTCCTGTTTGAAGTAACAACTGTTCGTTGAGAAGGTTTTTCATGTGAGACACATCCTTTAGTTGTCTGACTCAATGAAGCTTCACAATCTCAGTTGAATAATTTTACCTTCCTAAATGACATTCTACACGTAACCTTATTGTTTCTGGACATGTTACACTACTTAACATAAGAAAATCAATACAGATGCTTTTCGTCGAAAACCGCTGACATTTTGATATTTTATACTTCCGACTACCGTGTATGAAAGGCATTTAAGCCAGAGATTCAACATAGGCCTTTCTTTCTCCACTGAGATTGCGTTATGCCAGTCCTGCGGCATCGTCTTACATTTGACAGAGGTGAACTGTATGCCAACAGCTGTAATATTTCTGCTCAGGGTGTTCAGAAGACATTATTTTGTCATTATTTTGAGCTAACAAGTCAATATCATCCGTGTAGTGTCGACTGATTAGACTCTTTCCTTCAAACACGTCAATCTCTGAAAACCTGAAATCAGCCAGAGTCAAATCTGTCATTGCATCTGTGATAAAATTATATGAGGAAACTGACAGTGGCCATCTGTGACGGGCACCGCTGCTTCTTGTTACTTCATGTGACAACTCTACACTAGCTATTAGATAAATGCATCATTGTGAGTATATTGCTTTGAATAATACAAAATGGTTTATCAGCACTCCTTTCACAGTCATATGTTTCCATGGAACCACTTGGTCTGCGAAGCCAAATGCCACTTTAAGTTGACCTAGAAGCAGATAAATATGACTGTGTATCAGAATCTGCCGAAGAGTGAAGACAGACAATTCATTGGAATCAACTGCACAAACATCCATGAAAGATGGTTCTTAGAGAAAAATGGGATGCAATATCCATTAAGAAGCGTAATATAGCCATTTAGTTTCCACTAAAAGTTGATTTAGACTTTTAACTTGAGAGATAATCAGACTGGCTTTAAGCACGAGAAAGACTTACAGGCATATTGGACCTTAATCTTACGCAAATGTAATTTATTATACTCATAGCCAGCAAATAGGACTGACGTGACGTTAGATAAACAAATATCAGGAGATGTGACAAAAACTGAATCTCATACTAGAGGACAGCCGAATTTCTCACAGAACACAATATAAATGAGTGTCTTAAGTCTAAAAACCCTAATAAAGGACAGCAAATATCATTCTTCAAATTTATCAAACACAGAAACATTTAACTTGTAGAAACAAGCGTACAAGGTGTGTAGAATGAATATCTACTAACTCAGAGAGTGAGAATATATCTTAAAATGAAGAGATGTCCTGAGACTCAGTTTGCTAAGCAATCCTGTTCATACTTCACTAGGCATAGTTCTATAACTAAGTTGTTTAAACTACACTGAGGACAAAATTTGGGAAATTTAGTTCTATCTTGCGATTTACAGACCTTCAAGTGGAAACCACACAGAATAATTTTGAAAAAACGGTAAAAGTCACAAAACAATCGCCCCTTGCTGGTTCAAACAATAAGTCATTGATATTTGCAATTTTCATCTAAAAAATCTTAATTCCACTCTCTAAGAAAACTTTGTAATAGAATTGAATATTTCCTCACAAGAATTTCATTCAAGGGGAGTGCATACAAAAGATCTGAAGTATCCAAAATTCCATTACCAAAATAAAATATTATTTCTAAAAATGTATCCCATGTCATATAAGCACAAAAGAATTTCAATTACCATATTTTACTTTAGTAATTTAAATGCTTTGAAAGTTGTCATTGCACATATTGGCAAAGCTTTTAACGGACACTTGAACGTACCTTGAGAGTATTTATAAGAGCTAAGTTGTTCAAAGTTATATCATTATAATAGTTCTTCATTTCAGCATAGGACTTTTCATGACTACGCATAAGAGCGTTTATGTGGTTATTTTTCCTTTCTTCAGTTTCATGAAGCTCATTTTTTCTTTGCAGGTCAAGCTTCTCCCTGAGTTCCTTAGTATTTTTCGTATAAATCCTCTTTTGCTCCTCCATTTTTCGCTCAAACTCTTTTCTAATTTCATGCATCTAAGATATAAATAATTTTGGTAATTATTCCATTTTAGTTACTTCATGTTCATGCTCTTTTTTCAGAGTTCTCACACTGTCTTCGCTGGAAAATTGTGTTTCTCGCAGCTGCACCTTTAAATTCTGCTGATCTTTCCGAAGTACTCCTTGAATATGTGAATTCTCTTCTTGATTAATTCGAATCGCAGTTGCAGAATCTGCTTTCAATTCAGAAATGTTGTTCTGATGTTCGTAGAGGAGGTGCTTAACTTTTTGTTTGTAAACCTTAAGTTTGGCTAAGGAGTGGCTTAACGTCTTACTTTTAGTTCTAGCTGGTGTCGTTCTTCAGATTCTTCCATTTCACGTTCCTTATTTCGAAGTTCAGCAGACCTGTCCTCCAGTTGTTGCTTGGATATTTCCCAAAATGTGTTCACTTTATCTCTTTCCAATTGAAAGAAGTTTCTTTCCTCCCTCTCCCTCTCTAGTTCTTCTCTTAGTCTGATTATATGCTCTTCGAGTTCTTCCTTAGTCATTTCTGCAGTTGAAACTCCATCAACTATGGTGGGTGTCTTTGATTTTGAGGAAGTTGATGACTTTTTTCCTTTTTTCTTCCCTGGTTTCTTTTTTGGAGGCTAAAAAAATAATAAGACATTGTCGTCTTTTTACTAACCATTTTCCAAGATTTGAAAAAGTTCTGTTAATGTAGTCAATAGAGTGAACGATTTAAACAAATCACTTATCCAACATCCAATGTCCATTTTTCAGCTACTAGAAACCATATTCAATTCTCCTGACCCTGTTCCTAGTTTTAGAGTACATTTTCTTGGACTTTTATAAGCTTCTATGTAGTTTGTCTTGTCAACAGTTATGTATGATTTTCGATTTGTGGTATGCTAAGACCATTGCTGTTGTAACTTGAGTTGATTGTTCCAACTGTTAGTCACTCATTGTAGTTAAAAAGCCGATCGAAAACAATAATTTAATTAATGACGAGTGTGTAAACTCAAAAAGGGACGCCAACATGAACGGATAATGAATTTAAGTTCATTATCCAACATCTCTTTTAAGACATTGTGTGCAACACATTGATTTCTTTGTTCTCACTTCTTAGTTATGAGATCAAGGTCTTTGCTCTTATGCAATCTGAAAGTCCCGCAACTTGACTATTTTAGCTATGGTTGACAACGAAGGGGGTGGTGCGATGAAACAGGATTTCCAGGATAGGAATCTGGGTTAGTACGACAAGTGAGAGTTAATAGCTATAGGAATCAGAACAGTGAGTCATTGTTGACTGAGTAGGGGTAAAGAATGATTTTAGATGATGCACATTTATAGTGTGCAGCGTGTAACGACCAAGAGGATATTCCATTCATTCACACTCCTCTGCAATTGTTCTGACTTACCGTAGAATATAAGGAAGCGACACCCTCTGGTGAGGAATTGCATCTGTTTACGAAAGCCCTCCAGTAGATATAACAGTATCCAATGATTGACATATCTGTGTCAGTCAGTGTTTGTTTTTCATTATGTGTTAATCAAATGTATCATATATTTATGACAAGCTTCCTAATTCTGAGAAACTGTTCTGGGTCCTCAGGAACTTGTTAGCGTCCTCTAGTTCTGCTGAGTGCAGTGGGGGGATGATCTTTGCATGCGTCTTAGTATCTGCTGGTAATGACCGATGTCATATCACTACACGATCCCCCAGATAAGTCGAAAACGGACACAAGTAATAAACGGACAGTCACATGTTAGAAAGGATAGGAGCGGGAAATGACGCTAGTTAGTGAGATAAAATACGTATTGAAGAAGGAGGAAAAGAAAAATGGTAATGGGGGAGGCATGAGAAATATAGAGGAAGTCTAAAGAGATGTAAGAAGAGGTCGAAAGGAGTTGCTTATAGTATCACCACAGTTCCTTTGATTATATTATCCTCCAAGTGGCTATACGAGATTCTGGGCAGTCACCTTGCTTCCTTTAGAGGAACTTAGCTAATTAAGCTGTAGCAACCCAATAAGGTAGTCTCTTCCATGAGAAACAACAGAATAGAAAAGAAACTGGACAGTGCCCCTTCCAATTCCCCTTGATAAGTCTGAGGGTCACCATATAAAGGCTCCGAGCACCATTCCTTTATTCGACTGACTCTCGTCATTAAATATTTCCAGTCATTATGTCACTTTTTTACAGTAGCATACTATCCACTTGTCCAGTAAGTTACACAGAATTTAAGCACTCCTTTCAGAAACCACATGTTTATTAAAGCCAGGTACGCTGATTACTCGAAACGAAGATACCAACTGACGGAATCTAACGTAATAATCTAAACCGAGACCCAAACTTTCCTTCAAATCCGTGGGAATTTTTCTGACCAACAAATAAGTAGATCAAATACATAAGAGTCTTTCAGTTTTACTGTCATATAGTATGGAAAGGCTCTACATAGTGTCCAAATAAAATGCATAGGTCTTCTTTCCAGCTATACTCTAGAAGACTGTAATCACTCCAGACTGTAAGGATAAGTTTGGCCGTTAATTCTACATTAAACTTATTCGTTGTAAATCCATGTATCTCAGACTATTAACAAGGTTTAATGTGCTAGGTTTTCATACGGACAATGCCAACCAAGTCATAGGACCCTGTTATGTTCTGCTAACACCCTACCCAGTAACGCAATAAGGTCACATGCGAAGGGCAGACGATAAGATAAGACCAAACCTTCGTAAGCATTATTTGGAGAACTCTACTAATGCAGCAGTTCGGTGGTCGCGAAGTGACTTCACCTTCGAATGCAACTGCCAGAAATATTGGACACACTGTTGTCCAAGAGGGCCTATCAAATGGAATCGGCAGGACGACTCCAGTGATACTAAAATTTCCCTGAGAAGCTTCACCTTGCTGGCTTCTCGAGAACTACAAAATGAATATCAAGCATTCCTAGAGTGATTACATTATCAGACATCCTCACACAAATACACAAAACAACTAATATGAGACAGAAAGGCTAAACCCCGAACAAGCTTACGGATACTCATTGCAAAACGCGCACAATCAGAATCGGGGATAGAAGGCAAGACAAAAGGTCGCGTTCCATATAAATGAAAACCAACATAGAAAAAGAATAGTGGATCACATTTAATTGTTTCAAAAGGAGTAGTGAGCAGGTTTGAGCAGGCAAGCTGTGCCTGATCGGGAAGTAGGTATATAAAGATCAGTCTCAGCCACTCCGCTTTCGATGCTGTCCTGATTGAGACACATAGTGAACAACTAGATTTTCAAGGACAAGAAGGCAGCGTCTACGCTGTGATGCAATTGCGCATCTCCATTCTGTCTTCACATAGTCGTTAATAAATACATCTTTGAGCAGCCTCAAGTGTTTTATTCTCCTTTTTCTAGTTGTGGCAGTGGTAAGAACAGTCTTGCCACCAGTTCAAGAGGGCCAGGCTAAAAGTCAGCGGGTAGTGTGGCCAAAGCTCAGGTGTAGCTGGATAGATGGCAACATGGCCATCATGAGCGTTATTTTTAGATGGCATAATAATAATATATATTTCCTATCAATGTAGGACACACCAGTTGTACAGGCATGGATAAGTAAGGCAAGTGGAAGCTATCTCTGAGTTTCTCTAGGAACCTAAGTAATTCGCTTCCAAGTCCATCGACTCTGGGATTGGTAAAGTGTATACTTTAGTGATTACGAGCCTCATTCGTCTTAGCACGAACTTTCTCTCATCTACTGTATTTGTTCTCTGCACCTCTTGTTTGCTATCACTGGACTGGTCGCTTATTCGTCCCACCCGGTAGCATTTATAACTTTCCAACATTCAGATATTGGGCTATTCCGGCTCTTCTAGTAGTACACTTCTTTTTGAGGCGTTTGAGTCTCTGACTACATGAAGGATACAGCATCTACACTTTTCTCTCAATCTGGCACTATTTTGATAGACTATTAAGTGCCTTTTGAGTAACTTCGCGGGCCATAGAAGTGAGCTAACTTAGCTCAGGCCCGCATGCCCACATCACTCACAGACGCTCACTATTCTGAAGGAGATCTGGTTATTATTTAGGATTGAAAAGTATGACACAACCTTAGACAGGATAGCACTGTATGACCAGTAAGGAAAGGAAGGTGGAAGAGTCGCAGATACACAAACAGCTTAAAACAGACCAAACTCCGTTAGTCATTTGGATGTCATGAAACTGTAAATAGCACCAGTTTCCTGGTTGGCATAGAAAACCGACGCTTTGCACATGAGGTAAAGCACAAACAATAGACGACCCGAACAGTCCAAATGGTTATGGCCATGGAATTCGTAGAGGTCACTATGATTGGTGACTTCAAATCACTTAGTACTGGTGAAAAGCACATTATCAAGGGTGGCTTATTATTGACAGCTGCTGGATTTCATTACTATTGCTGGTCCGTGTGAGAAGACTGAAGGCTGTACACACTGAATGGAAGACGGAAAACTTTCCAGGCTAGACTGTCTTCTCTCGAGCGACCGTTTGTCTATTGAGAATCTACAATCAGAGCCACAGAAGAACGGTAGCAGTTCTTAAACTAGTTATTTACTAATGATGGGCAAACACAGCGAGTGGGCGAAGATGATCATCAGAAAAAGCAATATCTGTGACCAGAATGAAATTGAACTCCGAGCATTTTTTTAAAACTAGAAGAGCGGTAACAACCTGCGCGAATCTCAACATAATTTTAGAATGAGACTGTTATATGATACCAATGCGTCTGTCTAGAATGTTGGAAAGAAAGCATATTAGTTCATGAGTTGTTTTAAAAGTTTTCAACCCTACGTCCTACGAAACCCTGCTGTTGAAAGCCTCCAGAATGTGATCAGGCAAACTACCACTGCCTCAAGCCTCAGTGACACTACAGCTATGCGGCACTGGGAATGACATTGTCACCCAAGTTCCCTACCTGAATCCAAAGGAAAAACGACATCACGCTGGTTCCATCACAAGTGTCCAACTAGTTACATTATTATTTCCTCTACCAGCAGACAACGTAGCGTCAACTACCACATAACACACCGGGATGGTGAGACTCATTGTCAGCTGCCTGTATAGCAATGTGAGAGGGCTGAGAGTAAACGTAGGTTAACTCGGAAACGTCCAGTCACACCTACGCCTTAAAATGACGGTCATAACTGAAACTTGACTAACCACCACAATCACCGACAGCGAAATCAATATAAGTGATATGGTTCTGGTCAGGAGAGACAGGGATAACAAGGATAGGGGGACTTGAATTAGACAAACAACTTAAATGATTACGTGCAAAGGAACCACCAGTTACTGAGCTCCCAGACTCCATAAGGTGTCATTTCACCATAGACCACACCAAGAATTTACTGGCTGACATCTACGACCGCCCACCTGTGGGGTGGAGCACAACCGGCTACTTCTCAGCACCATCCCAAGGATGCGGGACATGGACCACGACCAAATCACTATAGCTGGAGATTTCAATGCCCCATCCCTGAACCTTGGCTTGGGTTATGGCGGCACTACTATTTCATTGGAGGAAAAGCTAGTGGCTGCTCCTCAAATGAACCCGGCTTTAGTGCTGGGGAAGCTGCAGAGACCCACATCTGGAAAGTCCCCAGGTTTTGACGACATTACGCCATCTGTTCTGAAACAGTGCACCGAAGCTCTGTGTATGCCCTTATGTGACTTGCTCCAACAATCCATAGG